GGCAGGGACGGCTGGTTGCCAACTCGCTGCCTTGCCATGTAGCGGGGGATGGGTGCTGAGCACCCCCTTGGGTTTCCAACACCCCCCTGCCTTCCTGAGGAGCCTTGGGGTGCAGTTGCACTGGCCCCATGGGCTGGGGGTGCAGGGTTCAGCTGAGAGCTGCCTGCTTCCCCCCGCTGGAGGGGTGCACTTGAGGTCCCCCCATGCCATTACTGTGCCGGTGGCTTTGCCTGGCCGTTGGCAGAGCCTGGCCCTGGCAGATGTGTCGGGTGAATGAGTAACTGGGGGCAGATGGTGGGGCCTGGGCAGCTGTGGGACTAGATGTGTTCAGCCGCAGGGGATGTGCTGGTTCCCGTCCTACCACGGCGTGCCGCTGGCGTGGCCATATGGCTGCCGGCCAGCATCCCTGCCGCGGCGGATTTACATACAGGTGGAGAGCGGGCGCTGCTGCTGCCGGCTTTGTCTGGGCGCAGAGTGAGGTCATTGGGGCACCCCAGACCACCCCGGCGTGCTGCCTCCTCCTACCTCCCCCTAGCCCTGGATTGGGGTTCCCGGCTTGAAAACCACAGTGTCCAGATGGGGCTTTAACCCTTTGTGGAGCTGAAAGCCTCAGCTGCTCTCCTCCGGGGGCCTGCTGGCCCCTGCATGGGGTGGGGGCACTATAAGGGCTGGGGCACAGGGCTCGATTTCCCCTAACCCTTGCTTTTCTCTCCATACAGCTTTGAGAAAGCGATCCTGGAGTCTGGGAGAGTTCTTCAAGAGTAAGTGAAGGGGCTCTGTCCCCACAGTGAGACCCAAAAGACAAGCTGTCCCCATGCCCAGGCTGTCCCCATGCTCAGACCCAAAAGACAGGCTGTCCCTGTGCTCTTCCCAGGGTCTGGATCGGTCCATCAGTGGTGCTTTGTGCTTGCAGGAGTTGCTCCTCCAGGGTACTTTGGGAGCTGTGACAGCTCTGGGGATGTCTCACCCCACTGGAGGGTTTGGGGGGGGGGCATGGGGGATGCCGTGCCAGCCTCTGTGAGACACTGCTGGTCCAGGGCGCCCTTTCTCATTCAATCCTTTCCTTTCCCTGCTTCTTGCAGCAATAAGTTTCTTAGCCGGAGGATCCACTCACTGTCGGTAAGTTCCGAGGGCTCTGTGGGGCTGAGGAGGAGGGAGGCCGGATCCTGCTGCGCCCCTGGCTGATCTGAGAGGAGGAGGAGGAGGAGGATGGAGCCAGGGAGGGCAGGGGCTGTGCAGCACCTCTCACCCCGCTGCCTACCCTGCAGCCGGAGCTCCTGGGAGCCAGCCCAGTCCTGAAGAACATCTCCCACTCCCGGGAGTTCAACGGTCACAGGGCTGGTGAGCAGAGGGGACGGAGGGAGCCTGAGGACAAGGTGAGGGGGGGCAGGGAAGCTGGGGAGGTGGAGGAGCTGGGGAAGGGGCAGGGGGATGCTAATGCTGTGCACCTCTGCTGCAGGAGGGGTTTGTCTTCAAGAAGCCGCAGAGGCCAGGTCAGCGCAGTCGGCTGCCTGCTGGTGATGGGGCTGCAGGGAGGGACCGCTTCACCCAGAGAGCCATCTCTGCTCCTGGCCTGCTGGTGAGAGGGGCTGGAGGGACTTCGAGGGGGGCACTGGGGATGGGTGCTCCTGCTGCAGGGGCTGCTGAGCTGGGACCTGCTGCTCCAACTTCCACGTTTGTCCTGAAGACCCATGGATGTGGGAGCTGAAGGGGCTGGGGCAGTGGCAGCCTGGGGAGGGGTGTGTGTGGGGACATTCTGTCTCCAAACAGGGCTGGTCCCACTCCTGACCTGTGTGCTGTGTTCTCCCCAGTGCGACACCCCTGAGAAGGAAAATGTCCCCGAAGGAGATAGCCCCATCATACTGCGCCGGTGCTCCTTGACCTCCTCCATGTCTGAGGATGAAGATGATGGCTTCATGGAGATCCTGGATGAGGAGGAGATGAAGGTAGGGAGGGCTTCTGCACCTGCAGGGTTGGATGGACCCTGGGCATGGGGTCCATCTCCTCAGGGGAGGTGGGGAAGCTGCCGGTGGGACTCAGCCCCTTCATGTTCCTCTCTACCTCTCCCTGTGGACCTCCTGGCTGCCGCTCTGGCAGAGTGATGCTGATGTGCCGCAGGGGATGGAGAACCTGCTGACTGCGCCGCTGGTGAGGAAGGAGGAGGCAGAGCTGGTATGTGGGAGCCTTGTGGGGCTGGGGTGGTGGATAGAGCCCCAGGCTCCCCCTTTGGGGTCTCTGAGGGGAATCTGGGGGTGAGGGTCCTCGCGAAGAGGCTGGTTGGTGAGCAGCACCAGCCTGGGGGCTTTGCGCTCCTCCTGGGCAGTGTGTGGCCACTGGTGCTGGACCCTTGTCCCCCCATCCTCACGGTGCTGGTGGGAGCTGGGAGGGGTGCAGGGGGATGCCAAACCCCCGGGCAGCAACATGGGCTCTCTTCCCACACAGCGTCCCACGAAGCGCAGCAAGTGCCGGCAGCTCTTCCGCTCGCCCTCGATGCCCAGCAGTGTCATCAGGCCCATCCTGAAGCGGATAGACCGTCCACAGGACAGGGACACCCCTGTCAAGACAAAGCG